TGAGCACTCTGTCCCACTGCTTAATCTGTGTCTAACTGACCACTCTGTCCCACTGCTTAATCTGTGTCTAACTGGGCACTCTGTCCCACTGTTTAATCTGTGTCTAACTGGGCACTCTGTCCCACTGCTTAATCTGTGTCTAACAGCCCACTCTGTCCCACTGCTTAATCTGTGTCTAACTGCCCACTCTGTCTCACTGCTTAACCCCTTAAGGACACATGACATGTGTGACATGTCATGATTCCTTTTTATTCCAGAAATTTGGTCCTTAAGGGGTTAATCTGTGTCTAACTGGGCACTCTGTCCCACTGCTTAATCTGTGTCTAACGGCCCACTCTGTCCCACTGCTTGATCTGTGTCTAACTGCCCACTCTGTCCCACTGCTTAATCTGTGTCTAACTGCCCACTCTGTCCCACTGCTTAATCTGTGTCTAATTGCCCACTATGTCCCACTGCTTAATCTGTGTCTAACTGCCCACTCTGTCCCACTGCTTAATCTGTGTCTAATTGCCCACTATGTCCCACTGCTTAATCTGTGTCTAACTGCCCACTCTGTCCCACTGCTTAATCTGTGTCTAACTGTGCTGTCTATCTCACTACTTTCTAACTGCACAGTCTGTCTGCCCCACTGCTTAATCTGTGTGAGTGTGCAGATTAAGCAGTGAGACAGAGTGCGCAGTTATACACAGATTAGGTAGTGAGACAGAGTGCGCAGTAATGCCTCATTTCCACTGAGTGGTATGGTTCAGGTCGGTAACAGTTTGGAAAGGTCAGAATGGTCTATCCTATTCAGGCGAGTGTTTCCACTGCAAATCAGACTGCCAGGGGGCATGTGGGGTTTAGACCAAATGCCTGGCTTGTCATTTGTCATGAGCATTGACGTTTTCCTATCCGCCAATCAATGGATTGTATAGTGTGACGCCATTAGCTTCGCCCTAACCATACCATACTATTTCCTATGGACCTACATCTGAAGGGGGCCCAGGAATGGTGCAGTTTGGTTCGGTTGTATGGGCCCCTTTCATAATGGAAACATTTCAAATAGCGTACCAGACCACACCGGCCCGAACCATACCGCTCAGTGGAAACGAGGCATTAGACACAGATTAGGTAGCGAGAGTGCGCAGTTAGACACAGATTACATAGCGAGACAGAGTGCGCAGTTAGACAGATTAGGTAGTGAGACAGAGTGCGCAGTTAGACACAGATTAAGTAGTGAGACAGAGTACGCAGTTAGACAGATTAGGTAGTGAGACAGAGTGCGCAGTTAGACACAGATTAAGCAGTGGGACAGAGTGCCCAGTTAGACACAGATTAAGCAGTGGGACAGAGTGCCCAGTTAGACACAGATTAAGCAGTGGGACAGAGTGCCCAGTTAGACACAGGTTACATAGCGAGACAGAGTGCCCAGTTAGACACAGATTACATAGCGAGACAGAGTGCGCAGTTAGACACAGATTACATAGCGAGACAGAGTGCGCAGTTAGACAGATTAGGTAGTGAGACAGAGTGCGCAGTTAGACACAGATTAAGTAGTGAGAGAGTACGCAGTTAGACACAGATTAAGTAGTGAGATAGAGTGCGCAGTTAGACAGATTAAGCAATTACAGAGCTTGCAAAAAATGTTTCGCGTCATTCTCAATGTCGTTGCCTA